GTTCTAATTTCATTTGATAGAATCAGAGTAAAATTTTACTCTGGTTCTATCAAATGAAAAAAACAGAGCAATAGAAGCAGAGTAAAATTTTACTCTGGTTCTATCAAATGAAATTAGATCATTCACAACCACTATTCTTCTGTTTCTTCACAGTTACTTGCCTCTTTTGTATCACCTATTTTTGTGGGAAGTAGTTGAGTAATGTGTTTACCAAGAGTAACATGACGCATCCAGTGACATGCCTTGGGTTGTTGTTTGCATTTGCCATTGAATTCATCAGTGTGTCTTTTATTGCTTCAACCCAATTGTACTTCTTGATGTTGTTGAGATTGTCAACATAGTTGAGGAAACTTCAACTGAGTGTATGGCCTGTTGTGGGCATGAGAAGTTTCAAGCACAAGTAAAGGGTGATTACCCTTGCAAGATCTTGACAATCATTGGTTGATTTTCCTTTTTTTGTTTGTTGAAACATTTTGGTCAAAGACTTGCCATCCAATCTCTTGATTGATTTGCATCTTCGTTTGTAAAATGGAAGCTCAAAATCCTTTGGTCTTGCATAGGATTTGGTGGTGATGCTGTCTTCTCCACAGTCGATACCAAAAATGAGCTTGACATCACTGGTTCTGAGTTTCATTTCCTTTTTGCCAAGTACAAATGATCTTTTTCTTTTGTTGTAGAGTGTTGTCATTTCTGCTACAATGGAATTGTAGCATCTGCACCAAGAGGCCTTCAGTTGTGTTGAGGAGAGAGCATTTATAAGGGGCCAAAAAGGGGTTTTTTGCAGCTCTGTCTGTTGGGCTTTTGTGAATTTGACCCCCTTCAACAGTTTGATTACCGTTCCGATGTTGGAACGATAATTAAATTGTTGGACTCTCTTTGCAGGGACTGCTACTTTTTTTTTTCTTTTGATGCCTTGGTTGTTGTTTTGGGAGTTGATTGGCTTTCTTGGAGCTTTCTTTTTTTGGTTGGAGGAGCTTCTTGGTTTTTTGTTGGCTTTCTTTTGTTTGTTTTTGTTGTGGTTGGTGTTTGTTGGGTGGGTGGGGTCTGTGGTGTAGTTCTTGGGCTTTTTCTTGTAGGTGGTGTGGTTGTTTTGTGGGTTTTTTGGTGGGGTCTGTTGGATTTGGTTGTTTTTGGGTGTGGTGGTGGCATTTGAGTGGATACAGGAGAGGGACTTTCAAAAGGGGAGATGGTTAAATCCCTGATTGGATTTGTGGGCATACGGGTTTGTTTCTTCCAATATCTTCCAACAGCTATTTCTGAAAAAATGAAAGTGACAACAGGGTATGAGTAATATAGTGACAAAACTGTATAATTTTGAAGTTTTATATGCAGTTTAATATGAAGTTATATGTATTTTGTTGGTAAGAGTTACGAAACTGTATAATTTGACAGTTTGATTTGCACTTTATAATAAGTTAGCTATTTGTTTTGAGTAGTGGTTAAACTGTGTAATTTTGCAGTTTGATTTGCAGTTTGAATAAATTTAGATATGTTGCTTGTATAGTGATAAAATGAAACACTATGATGTTGCAGTTTTTATAAGGAAACAGTATGAACAATAGGAACAGCCCATTGTATATTGTAAAAAGCAACAATAACAACAAGAAGATTAAAAATTCAAAAATAAGAATAAGAGAAGCCAATATTGAACAACAAGAATAAGAATAAGGTGTTGAATGTGTAAAAACAGAGATTTATGTGCAAAAACAGTGTTTAGAATGTTGAAAAACAGGGGACTATATATATATTAAAAGAGGGTTTATACATTTGGAAGTATGTAAAATGTGTATATAAGAAATATTAAAGAATGATGTACAAATGTGAAAAATAATGAATAGGTGAAGAGAGATGTTACTTTTTTTCCCCATTTTTGTGAATCGGAAGTCAGGAACTATGAAATCTCTTCAGAGTGGTGATGGTTCTTCGTGTTGTTGAGAGTCGCCGATTGGAGAATATGAACGGCTTGGTGTTGTGTTGAAGTTGAACGGTTTGGTTTTGTGGTTAGGGTAGGGTTTCAGAGAGAATGGAGTCGAACGAAGGAGAGATGGAGGATTGAGAATGCGATTTCGAGCGGCGGAGATGTAACAGCGTACTGATCAGACTGAGATGATTGTGGGTGATGAAGTGAACGGTTACGTTTTCTGGTTAGGGTTAGGGTTTCAGAGGGGATGGAGTTGAACGGAAGAGAGATGGAGGACTGAGGAGTCGATTTCGAGCGGCGGAGACGTGACAGTGTAGTGATCGGACTGAGATGATGGAGACGTGGGAGATGGTTGCGCGCGTGTAAATTGGATGATATATTGTGGGTATTTTCGTCTTATTGTTAATTTGAGGACTTAATGGAGTATTAAATTTGTTTTGGGTCTAAATGGGGTATGATATGTTGGGCTTGGACCTTTGGGTCAGTCGCCCAAAAATAAATAAAGAGTTAACTATTTGAAAGTTCTATTTATAAATATTATGATAGTTTAGTTTCTATTTAAATTTTTTAAATTAATAAGTCGTATTTTATAAAATTGAGAATATTATCAATTTTTTTCTAATTTTTAAAATTAAGAATATTATTAATTTTATATAGTAATGTTCTAGATAATTATTTTACTAACTGATAAAACACAGAGCATGAGATTAAACGTTGTTTGCCATTCTACTTATTGATTTGGTTCAATTATTCAATAAAATCGAGAATATTATCATGTTATTTTTTTTTTCAATTTTACAATTGACAACATTATCAGGTTTTTTTTTATTTTTTATTTTTAAATTTTATTTTTATTTTTATTTATTTTTAGTTTTGCATATTAAAAAAAAAGCCTACTTAATGGAGTATTAAATTTGTTTTGGGTCTAAATGGGGTATGATATGTTGGGCTTGGACCTTTGGGTCAGTCGCCCAAAAATAAATAAAGAGTTAACTATTTTAAAGTTCTATTTATAAATATTATGATAGTTTAGTTTCTATTTAAATTTTTTAAATTAATAAGTCGTATTTTATAAAATTGAGAATATTATCAATTTTTTTCTAATTTTTAAAATTAAGAATATTATTAATTTTATATAGTAATGTTCTAGATAATTATTTTACTAACTGATAAAAAACAGAGCATGAGATTAAACGTTGTTTGCCATTCTACTTATTGATTTGGTTCAATTATTCAATAAAATTGAGAATATTATCATGTTATTTATTTATTTTTTTCAATTTTACAATTGACAACATTATCAGGTTTTTTTTTTAATTTTTAAAATTTTATTTTTATTTTGATTTATTTTCAGTTTTGCATATTAATGTTCCATCATCATTCTTCTTAATAAACACAAAATTTTTAGTTTTGTACAAAAAAAAAAAATCAATTTTTTCAAATTTTCATACATAATTTTTAATTTTTTTAATTTAAAAGTTGATATTTTAAAAATTAAAATAAATATTAAATTATCATATTTTTTTTATATATAATTATAAATAATAAACAATTATTATTTGAAAAGTAGTTTTAACTATTAAATTCATAAATTAATATTTTTGTAAATGACCCATAAATAAATAGCTCTGTGCTTGAGAGAGAGAGAGAGAGAGAGAGGGAGGGAGGGGTGATTCCAGAGAAGAGAAAGAGCAGCAGGTTCACAGACAAATCGT